ACAATGTCAAATACATTAAAAATTAATAACAAAAAATACCACTCCGTGGTAATATTCCTTCTTGGGTTTCATAAGCTGCACCTCTTGCCACGAATGTTATAAGTATCTACTCATGTGCTACTTCCAACTAGTTGCCAATCAAAAAAAAAAATACAAAATGATGCTACTGACTCCGTGTCCACCACTTTCCTGGAAGAAACATGTGCTTCCTTCGACGTGATCACCAGGGAAAAAGGAAACTGTACCTGCAGAGGGCCCTGGGGAAACAACACGGTCACAGACAGGCACCCTCTACCTCCTTGCCATGCACATCCCACCGTGCATGGACTTGGGAGCACAGAGCAGAGCCCCCACCTCGCTCACCCTGGCTGGTCCACCTCATCTGTTGTGTCATCTGTCCAGAGGGTCAGCCAAACGCTGCTGGAAACGAGCCCATCACTGACCACTGGTGCACGGACCCCAGAGCACTTACTCTGTGCCAGGCCCAGGCCTCCAGCCCTGATCCCCACCTTGTAAGTGGCGGTGGGTGGGGTGACAGGACATAACCACCCCACGCCACACCCAGTGAGACGCAGAGCTGGATGCAAACCCGAGTTGCCCAACTCAGGCTGGTCCTCTAATACTTACACAAACTTCCTAATTATGTTTCATTACATCTAAAGTCACTCCTGGATGTAAGGATCCTTTCAGTTACACAACTAGCAGGGGAAGTAAAAGCATGACTTCCAATTCCGCAGGGCAGTTACATGGCTCACGACGCACCTGAGAGCATCTGAGACTTGGTGGAGGAAGGCAGGGAACGAAGGCAGACCCTGCAAAGGCAGAGCCGGTGAGCAGACCCACAATGGAGGGTCCCACTGGGGGACCTGGGCACCAGAAGGCCCCAGGGCTAAGGCCAGGGATGGTGAGTCGCCCACAGTTGTGAAGAGAAGCAGCTAACACCAGGCAGACCTCACAAGATTAACTCAGCAGAACCACCAGAGCTGGCCCGCGCACCAGCTAATCAGACTCCTTGTACCAACAGCAGAGAGGAGGCCACCTGAGCCCTGCCCACTCCTCCTGGAGGACCCAGCCCTCCCCTCCTCCACGACGCCTCTCTGAATTATTTCCAATCTTCCCCTTCATACGAGCTGTGTCCTCTGAGCCTTCAAAGCACTGAAGAATCTGCCACTGGGGAAAAACATAAATTAAAACAGGCCTTTTCACTTTTAAATCTCACAAATGAGCAGTCTCACCTCATGGCTGCAACTTGGCTTCTGCTGCCACTGATGTCTTTACGGACACACCAAAACTGCCACCGTCAGCTCATCCAACGGAACAGAACTCACTCGGCCTTCATTCCCCCTTGAACTTCTTCCTTTCCCGGGCCCCTCCAGCTGCCTCTCCCAGTTCCTGTCCTGACTGGCACCCTTCTCCACTTGACCCCCAAACCGAGGCACGTCCCCACATCTTGCCCCAGGTCCTGCAGCCAAATGCCCTGTCCTGACCCTGCTCAGCCCGAGTCCCACATTGAAAACTGTGGAAAGGATGGAAAAAAACAGTCCCAACGGGTGCAGATTCAGTCGGAAAGGGCAGGTCAAAGTGAGGCTTGGGGAGCCTCCCAGGCCAGGGAGCACAGCGAAGGTACCCAAGGAGGGAGGGGCTTGTTCAAGGTCGCGTCTGCAGGCTGGCCTGGCAAGATGGCGAAGGAGGGGTCCTGAAAACAGAGAAGGAGGCCAAGCAGACTACTGTGTCCAGCCTCGGGAAAGAAGGCCAGGAGCCAATGTGGCAAGAGCGGGAACAGAAAGGAGGGGGTCCCCTGCCACTGGTCAGCGGGCCATAACCAGGCACCGCGCTGCTTCTGTGGCCCCTCCTGGGCTGGCAGGGCTGTTAGCAACTTCACCCATATGCGGTCCCTGCTCTGAAGGGCCACACAGGCTGGGTGGGGATGGCAGGAAAAGAAATCCAGTCTTTCTTTAAAAACCTCACAGCAAGGCAAGTGAAGCAAACTCCTGCGGGGCCATCAACAGTGAGCAGGGTTTGAGAGCTTCCATCCCAAGGGAAGACAAGCAGCGACAAGGAAGGCGAGCAGCATTTTAGCTCACCTGTGGACGACCGGGCGGCCGCACAGCCAGCGACCATGAGCGGACGGGCCCTCATCTATCACGCAACGTCCCGAGCTCGCCAAGTGAAAGTGCTCGCGATGTGCGGATGCCAGCCACCGCAAGTAATTAACAGGCAAAACACAGCTTCCTCTGCATGGCGCGGAGGACCACACTCGACATCTGGTAGTAACCTATCACGAAAGAGAATGTGAGGACAAGTACACGTACGACCAAGACATGGAGCTGTACCCCAGAAACTGACACATTGTAACCAACTATACGTCAGTTAAAAAAAAGTGTTCAATTTAGGTTTCATCACCAGCCAGCTTCCAGTCACAGAGCAAATCCCTATCAGTGTCTGAAGAACATGGCAGGGTAGGGGGGGTGACAGACACAACTAACCTCTTCTCTGAGCAAACACCCTCACCCGGGAAATCCAGGGGCTGCTGCGAGGCTCACAGGAGCTACGGCTTTAGCACAAGCCACCTGAGCAATTTACTGAAAACACATTCTGCAGAGCCGCCCTGCAGATACTGATTTAGAAATCCGTATTTTCAAACAGCCATCCAGGGAATTCTGACTCAGAACAGGTCACACTTTCAAACATTTTCAAAAGTGGTTGGCAAAGTCTAGAGTTACACAAGAAAGAATTCAAACATACTTTATTAAGACATTTGGTCACCTCTAATCTAATAAAATACTGATTCCTCTGAGGTCCAGTTTCTGACACACACACACGCGATAGTGTGCAGACACAGGAAAACACTCAACTGCACACGAGCAGGCTCAACCCCACAAGTGTGCTGCAACTGCTCATTCTCGCATGTGTTCAGCTCACCTGAGTTGATTCAGTACACTAATGAGAATCCTATAAAAATACCAGGTAAGATAAATTTAACAGGGGAAAGCCCAATGGAGCAGTTTTCTCAAAAGGGCATATATATTAAGGCACAAAACAAAGAATGCTGTCCACCACCCAGGTCTACCTACTGCGTGAAAGGAATTCAGGGCAAAGACCGGAATGAGGTGCTCTGAGATAGTTACACGTTTTTATGAGAGGTTTGCTTTCTTTGCTTTCTTTGCTGGATGCCGGGGCAGGTTGGTCACCTGGATGGAAACGTGGGTGGCCAGCCTCCACCCTCCCGGGACTGAACGGATAGGTGGAAGGTATCCAGACCACTCTCCCTGTCCTGAAAGGCTCCTCCTCTGCCACCACCAAAATCTCACTCAGGCTCCAAGGTCCAGCCCCACCTGCCCTCCCTCGGGGCCAAGGGGCCTGTACCGTGCCCCGAGCTCGGCCGGGACAGGTGCTCTGTCAGCGTGAGCCCACCTGCCTCTCCCACCTGCTGACAGTCCTAACGCAGACGTCCTGCTTTGTGGCCTTGTTTCCCATGTGACTTCTCTGCTCTCTGATAAGGAAGCACACTAGTCCCTCCACACACAGCCCTACAAATCGCACGTTCCAAACCCGCCCAGAGGAAAAGCTGCTCACCGCCCATCCTGAAGTGTGGGGAGTCCACCTCTGCGCAAGAGGACCTGCCCTGCCCTAGGCCCCTGTTCTGGTAGAGCTCAGCTCCCACCACAATTTTAAAACTATCGCTTGTAAAATGCAGGCAAACAAGTACAATGAGAAGAGGCTCCACGTCACGTGAGCAAACTAAAACAAGCCACCACCGCACCCGTCAGAACGGCCCGCCAGAGCGCCAGGACCACCTTTTATCTGTATTATTTCAACCCATTATTTAAAACTCAAAGCCTCTATCCAAAATTAGGACACAACATAAAGGAGAAATTATTTCCAAATATTTTTGCCTGTCAACACTGTATAGGACTGGGTAATGATTTCCTATGACAAAGTCGTTCATTCATTCACTCATTCATTCATTCCTTTAAAATACAACACTTATTCAGTCTTTATTCTTTCAGGTGTTTGGGGCCATAGCAGTGATCAAAACATACTGGCCTTAATATCCTTCTACATGCTGTAGTTCAAAGACAGCTAAAGAGTAGGCTAAAATAATGGAAGCTTGAAATACCACCACTAGAAATGTCATACTGAACCCTAATTTACTAAAAGTCTGCCATAAACCAGACAGAATTCTTTCACACATGGTACTCTTTTATAAAGCTTCTATGCTAAAGAGATGAAATCACTATTTAAAAGAAATTAAAAGAGGCCAAACAATGAAAAAATTCTTCCCTTCGGTGAGAGTTTAAACTTGGCTTTGCACACTGGATGGAATGCACCAGCCTGAAAGTGACAGGAAGGAATTACGACAGGGTTCTGCCAATTCATTCACACAAGAAATGTTTTTCAAATGAGTTCAACCACAGCAACTGTGAGGTTAGGTGGCTTTAAAAAAAAAGAAATTTCAACACGTCACAAACATGTATTTTCACTTTCAAGTTTTTTAAGTTGAAAATTGCATAAACGGCATGATGTACAAACTACCCATCTGTAGATATTAAGCCACGCACCTTACAGCGGAAATACTACTAGTGAAGTTACTGCAAGACCAGGAAAATAGACAACCATCACTAGGTGCAATGATCAGTCCTCTAACTTCCTTTGCAAACACCAGTCCAAACCAAAGTCACTCAGATCAGTCCGGAATTCGCAGGACTGCGGCTCGCCCCCGGCCCAAAGCTGCCTGCAAAGCACTGACAGTAACACTGTAAAGAGAACGTAAAGCGTTCAGGTGGAGCCGTGGGACTGCAACCCCTCACCCCAACCCTGCGGCGTCGCTGGGGTCGCGGGGCCAGGGGAGGGCTCATTTTGCGAGGGTCCGGGGAGCCCAGCTCGCCGGCTGGACTCAGACTCCAGCATGTGACCTGCGTCCCCGCGGCCCGGCCGCCCCCGCGCCCCGGGGCCCGGCCCGCTCACCCCCGCCCTGGGCACCCGCGCGGCCGACTCACCGTCGATGTTCTCCCGGTCGCTGATGTGCTGCAGGTTGCAGCCCGTGTCCTCGCGGCTCAGCTCGGCGTCCGGCCGGCAGGACTCCAGCCGCGAGTGGGCAT